CAGCTCTGCTTCCCGCCTGCTGAATGTCACTAAATCACTCCGGCCAGCTAGCGTGTTAGTTCCTCGGCTCTGAAAATTATTTCAGAAGAGCAATTTCTTCCCGTGCCTTTGGAAAGGAGGCGAGAGCACCACAGGATGGGCTTTGCCAGAGGCAAGTCACTGCATCTGCCTCCAGCCCAGCCTCCTTCCCCCTGCCCGGCAGGTCCAGGCGGCCTCGGCGAGCTACGGTGCCTTCATCTCGCAGCCTCGGCTGCCCCCAGTTTTCCTCTCAGAAGAAGAAAAATATCCACCTCAACAAAAAAATGCTGTCCCTTGCTCTACAGCAGCATCATCTGCAGGAAAAAGAAAAAAGATGCAAATAAAGTACACAGCGTGTTGCACACAATGTTAATGTTAATTGGTGAGCGGTTCTGAGTTGCAAAGGGAAAACGCTAGTTCACTAGCCTGATCCGGCTGGTCTTATTTAGGCAATGCACCTGTTGGCCGAGCAGAAAGATTGGCTCAGTTAGGCCAGAGAGAGGGAGGACAGCTCTCTAAGGCACAATTTGCTCGCTGCCCTAACGCGCTGGGAGCAGCAGCAGGGCCGGGCCGGCCCCCGCTCGCACGGGAGGCAGAGCCGGCCGCGGGGCAGCAGCGGCCTTCAGCCCCCACCTCGAGTTCGCGCTTGCCAAATATATGTGCTTTTAACCAAAACAGGAGAGAAAGCAGGGAGCGTGAGGCATGAGAGAAGACATTTGGTCAATGAAAGCTCTTTTGTCAGGGGGGGAGGATGAGGAGGATTTTTTGATATTTTCCTTGAAAGTGAGCAAAGGAGGAGCTTAATTTTAGGATGAGGTGAAACGTGTCACCCCTCCCACCATCTCCTGGCCATGCTGACTGACTCTGCAGGGAGCGATGCTTCCTTCAAGAGAAACTATTTTGGAAAGGAAAGTCTGGATCAGCTGAATGTCCGTCACTGTCATTAGTTAACTAAGATACATTTGTGAGGCATGATTTTTCTGGTTTTAATGTGCTTGATTCTTCCCTGCTCTGCTGTACTTATCATCGTGTCTGCTAATTCTAGCCTTTATTAAAGGACCTACCGATCTGCACATCTCCTGCTCTGCGTTTCCAGGGGTGTCCCAGGAGCCCTTCGTTAAGCATGAGTGTCACTTTTTGCTCTTTGTGTAACAAAGATTGCTTTAAATGACTGGTTACATGCTACAGGGAAAGGCACAGAAATTGCATACTTAGGGTTCCTCAGAAAATTTGACTGAACATTTTCTGATCCTGTGGATCGCTTTTTAAATGCTCTCTTAAAAATTGGGTTCTCTTAAACTGAGTAATGTATTTTGCCACTTGTTCCCAAGACAGTAAATGCTACTTCTTTGCTTTTTGAATTTCACCACTGATTTTGGGAAGGGTCAGTAATCATGAGGAGAGCATGGTCAAAAAAGTTACAGAAGGAAAAAAAAAAAGTCCTTAAAGGCTTGCAATGTGCACACTGTAACACAACTATTTTTTTGAATAACATCAGCTTTCTACAAGCCAATTTTCCACCAAATTGTCTCTAATGCCAGCATGAGCACAAAGTAAATTTCCTGTGTACAGGAAATCCTCTGTTTCATAAAAGTTTAAGTCAAAGTTCATGATATATGATAATGCCATGAGAAGACATAATTCTTCAGAAAAAGTCCAGCATAATGTTGGAAACAATTTTACCATTAGAAAATAAACTATAGAATTTATTATTCCTTATCACTCGACGGTGCATATGTAAGAGGTGCCAGCCCTGCCAACGTCCCTGCTCTGGGTGGTGTCCGGGCCTTGGTTGGAGCTATTGTGTTGAGCGGGGCCAGCCCTTGTGGTCAGTTCAGCTCAGGTCTAAAGACCCTGCATCAGCCAAAGTGCTCTGATCCATAGGAGGGATTCAATCCCCAAGGTCTTGCACTGTGAAGGTAACTCCATGTTCAGTGAGGTGACGAGGCGCTACAATTAGCCAAGCCAGGGCAACACCTTAAGATCATGGTTAGACCGGCAATATCCTCTTCAGCTCTCAACTGTACCAGTAAGATTGGCTCAGGGGATGCTTTAGTGCAGCAGTAAAACAGCAAGCAGCTAAAGAACAAATGCACACACACACACACACACAATTTCACAAGTAAAATGAGTCTCAGTTGTTGCTTATTTTTTATTGCAGCTCTGTGACGGGGTGGCTGCTGAGCTACAGGCCAGCAACATGTCGGTGGCTCTCAGCCCCAAGGTTCTGCTGGAGCCCAGCTAATTGCACCCTCCCGGGTGCCTGGCTTACGGCGCCGGTACCCAGCGCAGGTGTGGAAAGTGAAGCATGCTCAAATATTCAGGCAGAGCTGGGAGGCTGAGTGCATGCGAACAAAGTGCCAGCCCCAGCTCTTTGAAACAGTTGCATTTCATACCAGAAAGCCTGAGGAGACAGAGGAAAGACATGCACTGCAGGATTTATCTTTCTTAAGGGAGTTTAGAAATGCATGTAGTCAGAAGTCAGTCCCCCTCAGCTTGTTTTCTGATGCAAAGCTGAACTGTGCGCAAAGCGGCGCTGTGCACGGAACAAATAGGTTAGGAGAACAGTAGGGTTTGGAAAATACATGCAAGCAGATCTGAGTAGATTTATTACCTACCTCTGTGACTTTCTGAAGTTCACAACAGCATTCAGATTATATTATTTCCAAGCAAAGCATCATAATTTAGAGTTAAAAAAGAGCACTGTATATTTCTGGCTTAGCTCAGCATATTGTATTGTTTATACTAGCTACAGAGAATGCATTTTAATCCCTTTACAGAGAGCACGTCAGAGGCCAGGAACAGCCTTGTTGCCCAAATCTTTCCATGGGGATGTGAATTTTTCAAAGGGTTTTCAAAGCGCAGCTCATAGGCAATTAAAACGCCTGCGAGGGATGTCCTCACAAGTCCTTTCCAACATCTTTCCCAGCGGATCTTTGTTGGTTCTCCTGAGCGAGAGGGTCGGCCCCATGACAGAGGAGAGGAGGAGGAGGAGGATGGGAGCGTGCCCACGGGCTGCGTTCACCTCTGAAGAGACCTGGCATAGTGCTCAGCCTGGAGGCTGCCTTGTTTGTGACAACTTAGCATTATTTATGTTAAAAACCAAAGAGAAAGCTTGCTTTTCATTAAAGCCATTTACACATTTGTTCAGGGTGTCTAAATCAAAAGGTTAAATGTCCCAGGAGAAGGGAAAAGGGATGAGCTCTTGCCTGAGACAAGCTGTGCTTCCAAAACATGTTTTGGATAGTTAGAGTCCAGCTAGATTTTATAGGGAGAGCGAGGTACTGAACTCCTTGAACTTGCAGTGACACCGTTTACACCATCTGTTAGCACATTGTGCCCTTCCGTGCCTGAAAAGCAGAACATGAAAGCAGTGGGTCATGCACACAGCAGCTCCAGTGAGTACCTGGCCCTGTGTAACTGCTCAGCTTGATGATGGGCTTTCAGACACCTTCTTTCTGAGTCTCTGCCTATAGAGCCCATCCGTAATGGGCATGAAGGGGTAGTAGCAAACTGACCACTTGTGCTGAAAGGCTAAACAGCTGCAAAATCAAAAGGCAGATCAATGCTTCTTGCACCACTGGGTTTTGTAAAGGCCATGTTTGATCTGGGTCACACCTCAGTCTCTGCCTCCCCCTGCGCTGCCCAGCAGAGCATCCTGCGGCACCTGATCAGCCTGGGCTTGCAGGAGCAAACCCTGTGGCATCTGCAGTGCAACCTATGAGCAAGCACTTGCTAATATACCCCAATCACTGCTCCTGCAGGATGAAAGATGGAGACCCAGAGCCACCAAACCCAGGGCACGCCCCCCCTGCTTCCTCAGGCTCCTCCAGCCAAGCCCACTGTAGACATGAAGCCCCCTTTGGGGTGGCAGCTGCAGCTTGCAAGAAAGATGCATCTACCTATGTTTAATGTCCTGCCCATCCTGTGTCCTGGATTAGAACCGTAGAGGCATTTATGCATATCCCAGATTCCCTTTATATTATTTACATATAAAATCTTGCATTTAAAGCACAGCATTTGGGTTGTAAAGTCAAACACTCAGACTTCAGGACAGCCAGACACAGTTGGCTGTATAACCCAAATCAGCTCCCTCTGGCAGGCAGGTATATGCTACAGTGCTGTCCCTCTGTCCCAGGGCTACCAACCTCTGCCAGGCAGTGGCCCTTCACTAGGCAGCTCCTCAGGCTTCTCCATGATCTTATCTCCCACAGCTTTCCTGTATGCTGTTCACCCTCCCTTCTCTGCTTTTCTGAGTTGTTCACTACCACCCTAGTACAAATATAAACACATTCATTATCTTCTCTCATCCTCCCCATCGGTCTGATAAAGGTCTAGACAAAGATTAAGAACAAAATACCCACTAATTCGGAGTGCCTGATATGAGACACATTGGACCTGTTTTCCAGAGAATGCAACTTTATAGCACTTAATATATCCAAAGACTTCAACTTCCATTGTGGCTGCAAGCGCTGAGTATTTCTGCTAATCACACTCAACTCTCACAAGCCAGAAAACAAATGTGCATCCCCCATCTGCGGTACCAAGTGATTCATTAGCATCATGTGAGTGCTGTGACAGAAACAGGGATCAAATTTGGGGCTCCAAGGCAACATTCAATTGCCTTAACCTTGAGACCATCCTCCCACTGACCTCACTCACTATCTGCCATTTAAATTCATTTGCAAATTTGGTAGGAATCCTACCACAGCATAACTCAGATCCTTTCCCCAGCAGGAACCACCCTGCTCATAGGTTCTTCAGAAAGTCAGATAAAATGTGATCACATAATCAGTGGCTATCTTTTAATTCATACACGTGAATACACATACACATACACAAAGCTGCCTGTATAACCTGCCAGGTCATTTTGTAATTCATAATT